GGGGGGGGGGGCCGCGCGTTCAGCGGTGTGGAGGGTATTGAGGGGGGGAGGGGTAGAGAGTACAGGAACAGCGAGTAATACGCGCGATACAACGAGTTACGATAATGCAATTTATTTTACGTATAAACAAAAAAAAAAAAAAAAACAGAGGACGTTTTTAGAATCCCTCCGTAGACGCGCCCGCAAATAAAAATCGTTACTATGTAATATCATAATGTATAATTAATATTATCTTCGTCAGTCACGACGCGGTTCAGGTCTTCCTCTTGACGTTCGCTTCGATCCGCACGTCCAGCGTGTTGACTGCGCTCGGCGGACACGCCGGGTCTTCGGAACGCCTGGTCGGGAACCGGGACCGCAACAGCGGTATTTGGGCGGGCCGCTCTTCGGGTATTGCCAGGGTGACGTGTGACCGGGAGAGCGCCGGTGCCAGGGGTTCCGCGATCGGCGGGGGTGCCAGCATGTTCGGATTGGGCGGTGGCGGCGGGTCGCCGTTGTCGGCCGCCATCCCGTCTCCGGCGGCGAGCCGACGGCCGCCCGTTGCCGCTCGCGGCCCCGGCCCGGCCACGGGGTTCGGCTGATGGTGGTGATTCGATGACGGCAACGGCGACGACGACTGCCATTCCGAAAACTGTTGTAGCTGACTGGCGACGACGATGCCATCGTCCGGGCCGTCGGCCGCCCCGGCCTGTGGCCGCGGCGAACTGGAACTTCGGATGCTGTCCCTGCGCGTGACCTGTGGACGAGACCGGGAACAAATGGATAGATTACTGGTGCCGCGGACGAACAATCGCACTTACCGGCAGCTTCCGATTTTTGGATTCGAAATGGGGTATCATAAAGGTAGGCATCAGCGCCGGAGGGACGAGAATGTTCGACTCTTGGACGGTCTGACGTCTCCGTTGGGACGGTATGACCGTCTGTTCCGTCGGCCGACCGCTCCAAGAATTGAACGAAAACCTCCGCCCTTGGCCTGTTTGTGAACGACAAAACAAATTTGGTTTTTTGGACGTGACTAGAAATGGAGGGCGCCGTGAAATATTTGGCTCGGAGGCGTAAGAGAATGGAGGAACTGTGGAGATAGTATAGACATCTTGTATTTCTGTCTAGATTAAGTGGAGATATGTCAAGTGGATGTCTGTTATTGCGATCAGGTTGGATGGGAATATATGCGGATAATATTAGAGGTAGTTGATTGAGACTGGAAAAAGAGGTCGTTTACGGGATATTGTGAGTAAAGTAGACGTTTACTTTGGTAAAGAGGAGATGGCGGCAGGCTTTTAAACGTAAAGTCGGCAGGCAACGAAAACTCTTTGCATAGAGGATTCTGATTCGCGTACTCGTGGTCCAGTGCCATTTGAACCAGCTGTTCTTCTTCTTCGGCAGCCATTTCTCTCTCTAATTGGTCTTCCATATCCATCTCGTCTTCCATCTAATACAAACCAAGATAAATAAAAATTAACTGACCAACTAATACTTTGGGAATTTATAATTGTTCAAAAAAAGCCTAGCACACTAATTGTATGGATAATATTTTACTAAAAAGTTTTAACAGACGTTTTAGATCCCTAGCTCTTTATTGTTAATATTATTATTATTATTATTATTTTTTTTTTACATTCATAGTAAGATTTCTAGGACAAAAATTGCAAATTCAACACCGCACTGCGCTCAGAGTCTAAAATTAAACAATTTTTGTTTAGACATTGATTCTGAATACATAATATTTTTCATAAAATAAAATAAATATTATTTGAAATTTATTTATTTAGAGAAGTGAGTGAAATATGTGTCAAAGTCAAATATTTAAAAAACTTGAAATTATTTATCTAGATACGATTTAAGACAACTGAATAGTTTTCAAGATAAATTCGATTAATAACCCTATTAACAACGATATGTATTTTAAACGTTTTGAGAACTTTTTCGATCGCTTCAAGTAGGATTCCGAAACGAGTTTCTAAAGTTTTTCTACAATTTATAAGAACACACATACACAAATTAGTTATTAACACATTTTATTTACAATAGTACTATCTATGTTGTTTGAAACTTTGAAGGGAATAAACCGAGTAAGGTGATAATATTATTATGATAGTATTATATTAAAAAATAAAATTTAAATACCTACTTTTATTTACAATATAATCATTAGAAATCGCGCTAATGTAGTAAAAATAATGATAATAACGTCAGTGACAAAAAAAAGTTGTCAGCTACTTATCGGATATATTTTTTCGAGGGATATTGGATATTGGTTTCGAATATTATATCAATCCAAAACGTTTGTGGTATAAAACAGAATTTGATTTGTTATGGGTTAAGCTGTTTTTACTCTATGGCTCTCGTATTGTGTACGGTTTGAAATTTATTTATATTTGACGTTTATCGTTATTGATACTATTGCTAATCTTACGGTTTTTATGTTACGGTATTAATGAGTTGTATTTTATTCGATCTAAGTCAATATTGGATTTTTGAAATGATATAAAAAAAGGGAAACCGTATAGTTTACATTGGCGGCAGTAGGTAGGTACATCGCGTGTAATGTGACGAACGTATACAAATACATATACATGAGATGCTTGATTCGAGTGCAGATGAAGAAACGGAGTAACTCTTAGGTATACTTAAAACAAATATATATCTATACACTCGCATATATTATATTTCGGCGCGCCTCTTCTGAATTGCATAAATCACATTTAAGTCATGAAAACGTCCGGCGCGCGGCGAGTCAATCGTCTGTTGGTATTTTTGTGTTATTTTATTACTTTTTTTCCCCGTTCAAGTGCTGTGCATGCATAATTGTGCGTTCGATATTATGGTGTAGTAGCCGCGGTACGAATTCATCATAAATTATTGACAATTGCGCGCAGTGACCCGAAACTGTGTTTATATGTGCACTAAAAACATACGAAATACGTATGCATTTATGTAATTTCTTATCATCATCGAAACACGAAACATAAATATCAGATATTATAATCATTTTAATGTAAACGGATAGTTTTAGATTAAATACAATTGTAGATAACCAGTAAATAGTTAAAAAGTGAACTGCATATTATTGTACTTGTAAAACTGCAAATTGTATTTTGAGTTTTTCTAAATAAAAATATGCAAATACATAATATACGATCCCGGGCCCTGATTAATTATCATGACAGTGTTACCTATTTGAAACTCGTTACGAAGTCGTTAAAAAAAAAAAAAAAAATGTTGGTATTATCCTGTCAGCCGTATTCGGACGTCCCGAACACAGTAAATATATAAACCGGAAAATACATTGATGGAACTATTTTTTTTTAAGGCGGTAGAAAAAGTTGTGACAAACAATCGATTATAAATTATAATATACTTTATGAATCATTTTACCTATAACTGATTATATTGACCGTTTTTGTATTATATTCCTGGGGGATTAGACTTTAGTTCGCAACAAAAATACATCGAAAATTCCCCACAAGCATTTATAACGGTATCTCTGTGTGAAGGACAACCTTAACGCGGCGGCAGTGGCGAGTCCTAGTCGAGGTAGCGAGCCGTAGGTGTTGTCACATCACGGACGATCGTCGGTGTGCCAAGGGCTCGGCGGTTAAAACTTATCAGTGGACTGTATAATGGGGGAAAAGAAAAGGCAACTAGACGGGAACCGATAAATACATTGTATGAATATCAACACTGAGATATAGGTATCTGATTGATAATGCGTTGATAACGAAATGAGATTCAAATAATATGTTTGATAATAAATGGCAAAATAAATAAATGAAATCACATGGATAATGAACAACAGGTACGCTTAACGCTATGGTTCGCAACATTTATCAATAAATGGTCTGATCGTAGAAAGATAGGTTCGTATATCAACATTGTTATGAAGAGATGGTATACAACTTGAGACGGCCGTAGAAGAACAAATCATGTATCACGAAAAATAATCAATTTTTAACTTAAAATGGTTCTTCGGTGTGCTATTAAAACCCGCAAAGAAAAGTGTTATGTGTTTAAAGTGTTATTATATTACAATATTTACATTACGTCGATATTTTATATTATCATATCTCCAAATTTTGCTTATCATTCCATGATGTATCATTTTTTTCTTTTATGGTTTTCTTAAACCATAAATTCTATCTCTTTCATATGCATACGTAATTTCTTTGATATCTTATCAACAATGTTGGTCTCACGGTAATATAGATGGGGTGTGTAGAAGGCGCAGTCTGTTTATCAATATGTCTGTGGTTAGTAAACTTACAAACTAGGTGCAAATTGGTTTAACGATTACGCATCGCGTTGATACGGTTATGATAACACCAGACGTGTTTATAGATAACACGGGAAAACAAAAATAAAACCTAACCCGACCTTCAGTTATGTAAGCAGCCAAGGATACGGGCTGGTTTTTGAGCAGACCAAGGGGGAGGGAAACGGGTCGACGCCGGCACGCCGCGCCGTTGTGGTTTGGCACAGTACACGGCACAGAACCATCGATTTTCGGCACAGATCACGGGACAGGACCGTACTATCTCATAGGTGAGTCACATTATTATTATTGTTGTTCTATGTACCCATGATGTATAATTTTTCCAATAAAATTGTTCTTTCGTGTTCTATACATCTTGCAATAGATCGAGGATAAGCGACGTATTTTTTATTATTATTTTTTTTTTTTGCTAAAACTTTTCGTTCCCAATAGTTTCAGTCAAACCACGCGTCGTAAAAAAAAAAAAAAGTTAACATAATGAAATCATTTTGACAAATAAC